GTCCTGGGCGAAATTTATGCGGCGTCCTCTTTTTTTAAGTCTGGTGAAATCTTCCAAAGATAGGGTTTTAGGGACAGTTGCCCTCTAATACACAACTCTGGTGCCTGGCGTCTCCTTATGCCGGGGACCCTGGACGTTCGTTTCACTACTGATGGAAATAAGACGTTTTACCTCGGCGTCGAAAAGAGTTACATCTGTTATGAGATATTCCAAGACATGTAACTATTTTCGATGTATATCGCTTTATTCTTTTCATTAACACTTTTGTTAAGGTGATTACGACAGTGTAAGCCTACTGCTAGTAGACCTTGTTGTCATAGCCAATTGTGAGCGAGGAGATAAGTGATTGGTTGCCGCTACGATATCCTTTGACTGACAGAACGATTTATTTGGAGGTTATGTTTAAGTAGGACAAACATTTATCATATATTCAATGAAATAAATGTTCTTATACGCGTTAGATTTTTCTTTGTTAATTTACTTGATAATTTCTACTATACTGTTTGATATTAAACAAAAGACTGATATAAATGTTAATTTAGTTATCTCCTAAGTATTCTTTATACTTTGAGATGAAAATTCACATGAAAAGTTACAAAATTCTGCTTTTCACTTACTATAGCTTATTTATGAAAGGTCATTAGTGTAGATCCATTATATATCTACTTTAAAGAGTACCACTTAATTATAAGTACGGCAGTTAATGGTTAGTAATTTGTAATAACACCATGTATCCGTCGAACTTCATTTCAAAAAGAAATGTTTTATAATAATATTATAGCATACCACCGCTAGATGGCACTACGTGTATTTGCGCAACCGAACCCCATCAATCCTCAACATTACCATATCAATTGCTCCCTTTGACAAATGACCTCATCTGAGCTAAACGCCTCGAGGTCTGCAAATGTAATTGGATAGAGAATAGAGATGTGTATCAATGTTTATCGATTACATAATATTTTACTCGAAAAATATCGATAATTATTTACCTACTCTTTGTTATTCAATTTGAAATTAGAATGTGAACCGATAAAACGGTCTAAAACAAAATTATATTAACTTCTTTGTAGTTTTGTTTGGGGAAATCCTTTTTTTTTAAGAGGGGGAATGCGTTACGCATACCGCCTCGGGGAAGCCACTCCGGTTATGTGGGACTCTCTCCACATCCCTAGTGGGACAAGGAGCCTACCCACTAAACCCCCTCTGGTTCCCTCGACTCACTGTTTACCACGCACATGTGAATACACTTCGCACACACCGGTCGGTAAATTTGGGGAAACCCTAGATTCCAGGTTTAATTATTCTAGGCCCTAGAATTTGTAATCCTTTTGTTGGGTCCGTCGTTTTTTTTGCCAGCATTTTTCCTCTGGAATCTTATAGAATTAATAATTACCTATTTTCGTGTACCCCTCAGAAAGGCTCCGCACAGTCCCGGGGGTCAAGCAATTTTTTAATATCGATAAAATTCATACTGACACACAACTATACAGAGCTTAAAATCTTTGTTGTCATTGATAAAATTGTATTGTGTTATACATTGCCGCTCCGATTACCGGTTGATTTATTGATATTTACCATTAGCAAGCAATGTACTCCAAATGTTAGTTCATGTATTATTAATGAGCTTTGAGTTCCGCCTTCAGATGGAGGAGAAATTAAGTAACCTTTTGCGATATAAAATGTGATCCAGTTAGATATCACAATGATATTAATGACATTACATGACGTTAAACTGTTGATGATTAATTGTACTGTATTTAATTATTTCCTTTGCCTTTGTTATAGCTAGTATATTGATATATATCAAGTTTAATCCATCTCAAAGGCTAATATTCATTACCACATCAGCCACATGTTGCGCACTGCTGGGCATAGAACGATCCTTGACCACCCTCTTTCAGAATATTATCGTAAACTTTACCAGATCGTTGGTTCATCTATCCTTGAACGTCATTTTACACCTTTGATACACTATCCGCAATTCGTTCTGCGAGCAAGGAGACTAAAGCTTCTTTTAGAAATAAGCTGGAATCGTACGAACAACGCTCGGCAGTCAGAGCGAGAGAAACTTATGGAAGATACATACGTTTGTCTCGCTCTGAAGTGATTTCATTGAGATGAACCCTCAATTAGCAATTGTGTACTAAACTTATATATGTACATGAGTTATGTTATACTTAAATATATAAGTTGATTACAATACAGTGATGTAACAATATCGTAGGACAATGAGAATGCGTTATAAAATGTGTCACATTTGTCACGTGACTATCTGACGAGATCTGCGACAGCGCGTCGTCCGCGATCCGACAACTGATACAACTTCAGCACGAACTACACAACAGCGTGAAGTGATCTCGCAATCTGATCTAATGTAGACTTAGGATGTGTTCACACTATGCATGGATTAAGTATCTTACATCACGAAAATTTGATTACCAACTCTTTGTTTCATTTTACTTATTAAATTTTTAAAAATTACGGCAATCGTGTTTGACTAAATTTGATACAGATAAAAAACTTAGTGATTAAACATAATTATAAGCTTGTAATGTTTATTGTTACATACTTAAATTTAGATTATTCTGGCTTCTTCGATATGAAGATTAGAGTCCAAACATTGTTACTGGATTCATCACCTCATTGACATTATCACACTGACATGAGGTTGACGAACATCGTTTTATCAACCTTAATGTTTTGGCTTTTTATTGCCGGCACCCTGCCTTTCGCCAACCCTCCTTGGGAATAAATTGAAATTAATTATTTAATAATTACAGTTAAATACTGAAAAAACCAACCAATGTCATTTAATTACAAATCTTTTATGAAGAACAATCACACATACACGATTGTGCACCTGCCTTTAGCACTGTAAGCTGATCGTCTAGTCACGAGTGTCACATTAGGTACAAACTGCAGGTGACAGGTGACAGGCTCGGCTGCAGCGAGGCCGCAAGCGAGGTGGTCTAGTGCGTGACTAGACACGCATTCAACCTAAGGGATTAGAGAATAGACGATATTTCGTGACGTCAATTTATAGGTATAAGCTTTTATCTACGAAAGACTTGTCGAAGATAATCAAAAATAGAATAATTAGAGTATTCTTAAGTCCTTACCAAGAATATCAAGTTCAATGAGACAGAGTGGACAACACTAAAAAAAACTGAATATTGCCATCGGTTGTTGTATAGCCACAGGCTGCCGCCTGCGACTCCATCCGCACGGAATTAAAAAAATAATTAGTAGCCTATGTGTTCATTCAGACTGTGTTCTAAATGTATGTCAATTTTCATCGAGATCCGTTCAACCGTTCTGGAGATTCCTCCAAGCAAAAAAACATCCGTCTAAACATTCGCATTTATAATAATATTATAGTAAGAAGTAAGATATGACCGTACTTGATAACGTACGAATTGATTTATTTAGAACACACAAATTATAAGAGATTATTGCTGTAAGTGTTCTAATTCCTGAGAGCATACAAATATCGCTGACATTTTATAACTAGATTAGCAGTGTAGCGTGGGTGTGACAAAGTTGTGAATAAGTAATGATACAAGCAATCGTCGTGTTACATGTGTGAGTAGGCAGACGGCTGCAGCGCCCGGGGCTGTTCGCTTGCCATGTGAAGGTAAATGCAATCAGGTCAGGAAACGACCAAGCATCGTAAAGAATCTGTATATTCATTAATAATATATTTGGTTTATATTCTTTATTACATGTATGGTGACCACATAAACTATTAACATGAAATAGTGTGGTGGGCGCTAGTTTATCCAAAATGAAAAAAAAAAAATGTAGGCTATTATATATAATATCTATACTATACTATATATCTAGCCATAGACCCTTGTTTGTTTACTTTAGAACGGAGTATATATTGAGAAAAAAGACAATTGGAACTCTTCAATCTGCAATCCTAAAAGATAATTTTTCACGTACATTTTGCAAGTTGTACTACTGTGTATATTGAGTTGGCACATTAAACAGTAGTATTTATTCTCCGTAACATGCTTATTGGACTAACACATTACTTTCATTACATGTATCAGTGGAGATAAAACTGGCTTTAAAAACATATCAACGCAAACTTCCGTTCAATTTTACATTTCAGCGAACACGACGTCAGCCACCGGCGCCGCGGCTGACCTGTCACCTGTCAGTGGTGAACAGGTAGCAGTCGACAGGTGACAGGTGGCAGCTCAAGTAACCCAACATATTAACACTCCGACTTATTAAAAATATATCTTATCAATGATCCAATCGACGTGAGAAGCTTTCAATGTGTTGCACTTAAGCATTTTTGTTCCGTTGTTTAAATAAAAAATAGCAACATAAAAATCATTTTTGCGATATAATATATTACACACAAATGCCTAGGAATAATCATTTTTCCACAAAAAATCCTACGCGTAGTTTTCTTCGTTCGAATCACGCCATCTAGTGACAAGAAGATAACACTAAAACATTCTTAAAGCCAAAAATTGTGGCCAAAAAAACTACCACTAGTGACATCTAGCGACGAGAAGAATACGAATCAACAAAATAATTTTAAGAAAATCATGTACTGTTTTTACGATGCCATCTAGTATCGAAAAGATTAAACTGCAATTGCATATTTAGAAAATTGTAAACCAATGCAAAATATTTGCCTTACAGTTATTATAAATACTTAATTAAAATAACTCGTCAATTCAAATCATAATAAACATCTACTAAAACTAATGATATGAAAAGCTAAGTAAATTTCAAAATACCGACGAAACTTTTTACCAAAACAAGCAACCTTCAATGGTTACATTTATGTAGTACTAAGATAGTGCAAACAGTTTATCCCGTCTTTATTAAGTTATTTGTAAGTGAAATAGGTGATATTTTAATTTCACTATAAAGAACCAATACATTAGTCAAATAAATAAAACTATAAGAAATCATATCTTAAATAGTAAAAATAACAGCATTTCTTTTACTTACAACTTGAAAATTTATTGCAGGACCTGCTGGACAGGATATTCCGCCTGTTCGACGTGGATGGCAGAGACCACCTCGTTCAGGAAGACTGGATCGAACAACTAAAAGAGAGGCTTCCGTGAGTAACTATAATATACCTATAAATTATAATAATAAACAGAAATATAAACATCTGATAAATGCTACCGAAATTAATATTTGAACTTTGTGATCCTAAAATAATATTAATATTAATTTCGACAGCGAAACATTGTTCCAACAATAAGATCTTTTAAGCAAATTCTTGTATATTGGTCGTATGTAGTGAGGAGAGACAACTGGAACTGGTGGAGCAGGTGGAAAGCGTGGCGTATGCGCTGTGCGGTGACGGACCTGTATGCCCGTCTGCCTTCACACGCATACTGCGCAACAAAGTGGTCTGTACCAATAATTATACTGAACTTCATGTAGTGATGCTTCTAAAGCAGAAATGTCTCAAAACATCAGTGAAATTTAACTTACTGTCATACTCAAACACAAAATTCTTAAGAGTTCTCCTTAGTGTAGATTCGATATGCAAAAGTTTGGATAGATGGGTGGATGTTTGTTCCAGAACGGCTCAACGGATCTTGACGAAATTTGGATAGGATAAGATAGGATATAAAATAGGATAATATAGGATATTTGGAAAGGAAATAGATGTAAGTGAGACCCTATTTATAGGTAACCAAGAAACTATTTCGCGTGGTGGACACTGATGACGACGGCTACGTCACCGCTGAGGACGTCATGGAGTTCATTGCTTCCATCTCTAGCAGCAGGTTAGTCTGAGATCAAATAGAATGTATTAAAAATAAGGTAGAACAAACCAACTGACCGACTTGTGGGCAATAATAAATTGGTCCAATATCCCCAGACCACGTGTCGGCATCGACAAGCCGAGCGTGGACAGGCTGGAGCAGCTGTTCCGCGATACCGCCGGAGACCAGAAGGAGATCACCAGGGATCAGTTCAAGAAGATTGTCGTCTCTAAAAACGTAAGAATTTTATGACAGAAGCGTAATGCAATTGTGGAACTCTCGAATTGGGTTCCTATTCTCTTTTTGATAAGCTTTTGGGCGGAAACGACTAACTAAACTTTTGATGTCTTATCTAGCATTTGTTTATTGAAAAACATCATGGAAAAATCATAATATTCTTCCTACTTTATAGTACCTTCTAATAGTACTATTGATATTCACAGCCATTCTTCACGGAGCGCGTCTTCCAAATCTTTGATGAAGATGACTCCGGCAGCATCTCGCACCACGAGTTCATCGCAGCCGTGCACCGCTTCGGCCATCAGACGCCTGATGATAAAATCAAGTTTTTGTTCAGAGTTTATGATTTAGATGGTGAGTTTTGGAGTTTACCTAATTGTATGTCTTCACCAGTCGTCCATAAAATTATATCATTCGTTTCGTATTAGCTGAATGTCCTTGCTTTATATGACAAACATAAATACTTACTGTTGTGAAAATAAAATGTTGAGCACAAATATTTCACATCCCGGATGCAAAAGTCTTTTTGTCACTTTTGTCGTGGTCAAGACCTAGTTTCAAAAAAATCTCATATTCAGTCTTAAACTTAATATGTCTTCAACTTCACCATGTTCCAGGTGACGGTCTGATTCAGCACCGCGAACTGCAGCATGTGATGCGCGCTTGCATGGAGGAGAACGGCATGAGCTTCAGTGACGAGCAGCTGCTGCAGCTCACAGCCGCCATGTTTGAGGATGCAGACACAGAGCGACGCGGTGCCATCACTTATGAGGCGCTGCGCGACCAGCTCAGCAAACACGGTGGACTGCTTGAGAATCTCTCCATCAGGTAGTACCATAACTAAGTCAATAAACAGATAAGAGATTATAAAGGAAACCTAGCCTAGTCCTAAAAGTTGTAGATGCTATACTGATGTAAAGATAAACCGACTTTATGTACCATGACATTTTCCCTTTTTTTTACTGTTAAAGTTCAAATTCACTGGAATCTTGAAGGCACCTCATTCACCTCATCCATCTCAATTCTTGTCTCCTTTGTCCAGTATAGATCGTTGGCTGGTCCCGCCTCCGCCAGACCCTCAGTCGACTTCCTGGTTACGGCGGCTGTCCAGCATGAAGCCACATCAGCTCTCATGGCCTTACATCAAGAATAACCAGGTGTTCCTGGGCTACCTAGCTCTGTTCTTTCTGATCAACCTAGCCCTGTTCGCCGCAAGGTGTGTGGAGTACAGGAACGCCAATGGATTTGTCATGTTTGCAAGAGCTTGTGGTAAATCGTCTTTTTTATGACTTTTTTATAATGGGCTAAATTACACATTAGTTTTCCAAATATATGTAAAAAAACTTCTGAGATAAAGGCGTAATGAAACATGCTTCTAGTTCATTTGGCTACTTATATCATATTCTATGTCGCTAGGTCAGTGTCTTAACTTCAACTGCTCGTGGGTGTTGGTGTTGATGCTGCGGCGCTGTATCACGGCGTTGCGAGGACGTGGGCTGGGCTCCGCGCTGCCCCTCGACCACCACGTCTACTTGCACAAGCTCACCGGTGTCCTCATCGTCCTTTACAGCATACTACACACCATCATGCACTTGTGCAACTTTAGTTAGTTATATAAGTATTCTGTTTGTTTATTAGTAGTTGAAGAATTTTCTACTTCTCCTCATACGAGTAGTACGACATTCTTTTAAAAAATATTAGGGAAAAATGCACGGTTTTGAAACAAAGTGACCAAAGGGTGCTTTTTCCAAGTCTCTAATGTAGGTAAAACTCAGTCGTCCAGTCATACCCTGCTAATACAGAAATTTATTTATTGACCTTACTGCACTGTTTATTTTCCAGGTCTGATAGTAGTGAACGACCCTGTGTTGAACGCAAACAACTACACTGTGTGGGAGTGGGTGGGCACGACGCGACCAGGCATGTTCGGCCTGGTGGGAGGCGTGGCGAACCCCACGGGTCTGGCGCTTGTGGTTGTCCTGGCCATCCTTGGCACCTGCAGCCGGCCTGCCGTTAGACGAGGGGGGAGCTTCGAGGTACACATGAATATTTGCAGCCTGCTCAAAACCGTGTATGGCGGCCTTAAGTGTAGGCTATGATTGCCTTTTAGTCTATTTGTCTTGGGAAACTTAGTTTACAAAAACGATGTGGTTAGTAATAAGAGAAATTAATTTATTGGTTTATAATTTTCAGATATTCTACTGGACTCACTTGCTGTATATTCCATTCTGGATCTTAGTAATATTCCACGCTCCCAACTTCTGGAAGTGGTTCATTCTGCCCGGCACTATCTACATCATTGAACGGATCATGAGATTGACTTGGATGAGGTAAACGTTATATTTAAATAGCAAAATTTGACTTATTGTACATTGATAGATGACAATAGATATACTTGCATCTTCATCAAGTAGTGGATTCCTGTAACTTTAACAAGATCCTTGGACCATCTTGTAATCTTATTTGAGCTGCGTCAATATGTTCATGGTTACCTACAAAATCATACGTATACTAAGCACATATTCCTATAGGTCAGAGATAGGCAAGACATACATCTCTTCCGGTATCCTGCTGCCATCCCGTGTGACGCACCTGGTCATCCGGCGGCCGCCTCTATTCGACTTCCACGCCGGCGACTACGTGTTTGTGAACGTGCCAGCCATCGCGCGCTACGAGTGGCATCCCTTCACCATTAGCAGTGCTCCTGAACAAGCTGATCACATTTGGCTGCACGTGCGCGGCGTAGGCCAGTGGACCAACCGGCTGCACGAGTACTTCGAACGCGAGCACCGCCGCCTACACGCACCTGACATGCCGGAAGTGCCCGAAACGCTCACACACGACGCGCATCGTAAGGTGAGCCGCACGGTGTCGGGACAGAGCGCCCGGAGCACACGCAGCGTGCGGCGTGGCTCCGCGGGGGGGCGCTCCGTTCGCGGCAAGCTCTCTGTCGACTTCTCTCCAAACTCGTATACTAACGACGCTTTTTGCATCGACGAGGAGCCAGAGGAAACTCAAAAAGATGCGGTACCGGTCGCGTTAGCATCGCGCGCGGCGGCGCTGCTATCTCCTCTCCGTCTACTTGAAAAATCCCGCTCCATGCCCGATATGCAGAGCGTCACCAGACACGGTGGTCGCGACTATACGCGTTCAGAGTCCGAGTTAGGCTTATCGTGTGGGGAGGCGCGGCGCGCGCGGCTGGCATCGTTGGCGCGCTCACCACAGCACCGCGCGTTGGCACACAGCTTCCGGTACATGCGCACTAAACCACCAATCGTCGCACTCCACACGCCCAGCGTAGACGCTAATGAGAGGAGACGCTCCAATGAAAGCATACTCACTATAGCAAGAAGACGTCTGTCCAAAAGTCTATCACCCGATAAAGATACGGAGGCACAAAACGACACGAAAATGAACACCGTTCCCGACCCGGACACTGCTAACGATGTTACCAGCGATGATTATCCTGTAGGAAAACCATTAGAAATCTACCTGGAGGGTCCGTACGGCGCGGCGTCATCGCACATCTTCCGCGCAGAGCACGCGGTGCTTATTGCGGCGGGCATCGGCGTCACACCCTTCGCCTCAATCCTGCAGAGCATCATGCTGCGCCACCGCGCCGCGCGCGCTCTTTGCCCGCGCTGCGGACACACCTGGCACAATGACGTGCCTCACTCTAACATGACGCTCAAGAAGGTATACCTACTGACTTAATGGTACCATCAACTTAGTGTTCTATGATTCGTACTCTTGTATTTATTTATGATATTCTCTTGTTAATAAAATAACAGCTCCCTAAATGTTGTCTGCGTGCAGGTTGACTTCTTCTGGATCAACCGCGAGCAGAGGTCGTTCGAGTGGTTTGTGTGGCTGCTGTCCCAGCTGGAGATGGAGCAGGCGGAGCGCGCGGGGGAGCGGGAGGAGGGCGAGCGGCTGCTCGATATGCACCTCTACATCACCAGTGCGCTGCAAAGACACGACATGCGCGCTGTCGGGTTACAGCTAGCACTTGATCTGCTACACGAGAAGGTATGAACAACTGAGCGTTGATGAAAAGTCCTTTCTCGGCTGACTCATCTTCTTTTGTGTGTACAACCTTGTGTGTAAACATTATTGTTTTTAGGAGAAGCGTGACCTGATCACAGGCCTGAAGAGCCGCACGAGCGCGGGTCGACCCAATTGGGATAAGGTGTTCCAAAGGTTAAACGAGCGGCGAGCCGGCAAAGTGACCGTGTTCTACTGCGGTCCACCGCGCCTGGCGCGCACCCTGCGCCTCAAGTGCGATCAATTCGGCTTCCATTTCCGGAAGGAGGTGTTCTAAGAACATTCTACATAGTCAATTTACTAACTTTTTTTGGAATTCTGGAAATTTATGTAAGAGAGATTTATGAAAATGCGTTTTAGAAATTAAAAATTGTAAATAATAAGTATATAATGGAAGAAGTAAGATAGAAGAATTGGCCTACAATTGAAAATAAATTTTAGTGCCTCTTCGTAAGATATTGTGCAAACGGTTTACTGCAACAAAGTTTTTTGGTCAAATTCTTAGTAATTTTGACTTTCTATTTATAACTTAGTTCAATTGTTGTTTTGTATTATATTATATGTTTATTTCGTTGATTTTATTATTTTTGTGTACAGCTTGAAAACATTTCTAGATAAGTCAAGAATAGGAAGAAAAATTGAGCTTAAGAAAACATTTTTTTTTTCATTGTAAGTAAATAGCGTTGGATAAGCATTGTAATAATTTTTTTAAAGATATTTTTTTAAATTACTTGCCATTTAAAAAAAATACTTTTGTTATGAGACATTTATGTGACATAATTCTCTTTTCTTATGACATATATTTATAGACAAATTAATAACCTATTTTTTTTATTTAATAGAGTCATTTTCTCTGTATTAAAAATGAATTAGATTTATGGTAAATAAAGTTAGTAGTTTACGAACATAACAACATACGAACTAAATGTCAAGCAGCGCCTACAATTATATTTCAAAGAAGCACCAATGCTTTTAATTTTGTGTCGTCAGTTTACTTTATAAAGTAAACTTTATGTACACTAAAAGCACGCTGCAATGTCATTTAGGTAATAAAGTCTTTTGTTATTTTGTATGAGTAGTATTAAGCATCAACCATCAAACTACGGTATTTTAGACATGAATTTAAAAAGAAAAAAACAAGAAAATCTATGTCTATTGTTTATCATTTTGTCTTTGACTTCTTACTCTTAGAAGTGACACTTATTTTACTCTGTTGCTGTTTGTCTTTTTTAATTTTAATTCAGTCCATATTTTAATTTTCGAATCTGACGAATGATTTATTAAAAACTTTGACTTCAACTATCGTTAAATATTTACTAGAATTATTTATCAGCTGCTGCTGTTTTTATTTATATTTTTAATATTAGAAAAAGAATTTTCTTTACTAAATTATTTACTTCTATCAAAAAAATTTAATTTGTCTAAGAAATAATTTACCACTCTAATTTGGTGTATTTTTATGATTTTTTAACGAGATTTAAAGTCATTATATAAAAATGTAGCAAAATAAGCATATAATAATTTATATATTAAGTATTTTATAATGTTACCAGTAATAATTAATTTATAAAACTTTTATTCTTGATATGAAATTTTTTGTGAGTTGGCGGTCAAAAGGTTAACGAGAAAATTTACCTTGTATTGCGAAATAAAATCGTAAATGTTAAACATTAAAGAATAAAAGCATTTTTTGTCAACAATTGTTTTATTTATTTTCGATAAAGTTCAAATTAACGGCTTTAAACTGTACTCAAAACACTTAAGTTAAACATATTAGGAAACTATACGAGATGTTAAAACAAAAAAACCAAACAGCATCCGAATTCAAAATAATTATTATTTTCATTCAAATAAATTATAGGTTATGTAATTCTATCAAAGTTTTGCGATTAAGAAATCGTTCCGTAATTTCCTAAATCATCGTATATATTCATAAAATCTATGTATGTGGTTATAGATAATTTGCGGAAATATTGCGAGCGACCTCGCCTCAAGGTGAGGACTTGAAGGTCCCTGCGACCTCAGCTGGGGCCAAGTTTATAAGACCTTGTTATAGAGGACGGGACCTTGGAGCGAGGACATGGCCGTGAATGAGGTTATGTCAAAACTCATCATGGTCAAAATCGTTTATAAAGGTTGTTAGAAATATAGTACGAATCGTTATGAATATAGTTCGTGTATATGGTATTTTTATACATTTATTTCTGGATGACATTGTTTATTATAAATAATATTTATTTTGTTAAAAATAATTAGTAAAAATTAGCAATGAAATTCTACGCCATCTATCATTGAATTTTGAAACTATTTGAAATTTGTCCTTGCAAGTTTTCGTTATTTGATCAATAGAAGGCGTTTAAGGTTTCAAAAATTGCTCATCTCAAAAATTTTAGTTTTGTAAAACTTCTAATCAATAAAGTAAACATTAGTTTTATGCTCACTACTTCGGCAACAGAAGTATCATATCTAATTTTACTTTTGTTGCCTTTTGTTTAACCCAATTACCAAAAATGTAATTATAAAATAAGTTTTAGTGCAAGTGGATTTGAAAAGGGGATATAAAGAAAACATACAATCGGTGTAAAATATATTTTATTTAAAAAAATCAGTCTCTGATTTAGTTCCAAACTTACTAAAACGTAAATTTAGAACCATTGCTTGTGTACAAGTTATATACAATATACATAATATATAAGGGTTTAAAACATAGAAATATAAGTAAAACAACATAGAATACAGCAACCCGCCGATTTATTTGAGATCTATCAACATACAAAGACAACTATATACTATCTGCTGAAATACAAACTGAACTGTTACATTACATCTGTACATACGTCGCTTATTTATTATTAAATATTATTGTAAAACGGTGATAAAAACTCAACATTGAAGCAGATTAAAAAATAAACAGAAAGGCGGGCAATTCAAAGTATTAAAAAAAACAGGTATTTAAATAAATTGTCGATAAAAAAAAATTATAAAAATCCTAATAAGGCGAACATAACTACAATTATTTCGCTTTAAAACCCATTGTTTTACAAAGTGGCATTTATTATGGTAGAATATAAACAAATCTGTGAATATTTGTTATGTCAAGAAAAATCAAACATCTCTCTCTTCTCTGATACGTAAAATTCTGTGTAAAACATATTTTTCCACAAAGGAAATATATTCGAATAATGGTAATAAACACTAAGTTAAAAACGAGTGAATAAAAGCAATACCTAAGAACTTACATATTATATTATATAGTATTCATTACATAAAATGACTACATAACTAGTACATATATTTTAATAATATTAATGAAAAAATGTAAAGAAAATTGAATCATATAGAAACAAAAGCAGTAACATCTTTTATCAAATAGATATTTTATTAGAAACATGTTTCTAATAAAATATTTATTTGGAACAAAGTCGCATATTACTTATTTTGTTTCTACACGATATATGTTTTACAAATGGAATAAGCTAATGATATTTGAAAGAGTTTAGTAGATTATAGTTTTCTTATATTTTAAGATACAATTCTGAGAACTAATCAAGTCTTATCAAGAATTATAAGTTAAATGTAAAATACATAACGACGAAACATACATACGAACATCAAAAACAGGATACTTCATTTTTATAACAGTTTTCTCGAGTTTTAAATATCGAATAAGATAAAAAGGGGAACAAACAATTGACGATCTATCGAAATACTTTAGTTAATTTTTAAAATAGAACTTTCAACTTTGAATCAAATTACAATTCATTCTTAGAGTAATTTCCCTAATAATAAAACAAAGCAGAATAAAATAAAAACGACAAAATACATGACATAAAATTGTCTTGCGTAATAAACAAGTAAAAATACAATTTTAAAGTAGACAGGAAAATTTAATCTAACATATAAATATCGGAGATAATATGACATTCAATCTAAGGGACAATATAAACATGTTTCTAACGTAGTATTAGTTTGTAAAAAATATGACTTTTGTTAGTTTTGCTCATAATTACAAAATACGTTACGCAAATTCTATATATGTATTGTCGAATTTTAAATGCCTGTTGTTTTTGAATCACAATTATGTTTAATATTTAAAAGTCTGTTTTTAAAATTTGCTATTGTGAGTCTGAGTTCCACGTCAACATTTTAAAGTTTATAACATGCCAAGTTATATTATATTAATGGTTTTCTTACCACACGCAAACATTCTTAATACTAAGAAGATATCTTCTAACAAGAGTAAGCAGCGGTAAGTCACAATACGTTAGGTTCACTTAGATTCTAGAAAACCCTTTAGGTCCTAGTTTCACGATACAGTGACAGAGCTAAAAGTGCTACACAATACAATAAACAGTTTGACAAACATTTAGATAATTTTTCAAAGAATTGTCATAATTTTTAAGACGCAGTATTTGCGTGACTACGACATCAATATAAGCTATTGATTTCGCAAAGTTCTCGCAGACAAATTTCACATATATTTTCCATTCACTGTAGTATCTTTAGTTTGTCATACAAAATACATTTATGTAGTGTCTTATGTATTACAATATCTTACGAAGATAAAGTTCAGGTAATATTATTGACAATGTAAAATGCGTTGAAGCAAAATACAATTAATTAGGACGAAAATTCGATTACATATTTGTAGGTTTAATTTAGTATTTGTTTTATTGCTAAGAAACTTCTACATCTTCCTATTGGTCACTAAATGTTTACATTCAATCTTTTTTAAAATCTATACGAATCTCTTATAACCTATGCACTGTGGCTTTCAGCTTTAGTACGTGATAAAGGTGCGAGTTAAATCTATAGAATAAAACACACATCTCTCCCAGTGGGTAGCGATTTTATCACGATTAGTTTGTCAGGAAAAATGTAAAACGTACATAGGCATTGAAAATAACACTCAAAATCTAGCACAGGACAACTACAGTCAGACAAGGATATTGTGACAATTTATTAACATTGACCTTCTTATTAGCAAGTTGCCGTATACATGGACAATATTTCTATATCTATCTCAAAGTGACTGTTAATCTGCTAGCCGCGACCATTTTGTTGTGGAACTTCTTTTTAAAACTGTCAGCCGCTGCGGACGTTTTGAATGTTAACTTCGCGCGACGCTCTTCTTTATCCAATATTAAATTCTGCAACATCAATCCGTGCGTTTGGGTTTCACTCTTACTATTCATTATAACTAAATCTAAACTTAGATCTACTTAAAGACTAGTTTACAATTATTATTAATATTTGATTGGGAAATATGTTGTTCCAGGAAAACAATATGACATGCAGTAATTACCAACAATCATTTGTAAAATGACTTCGATAATGTTTCTCATTAGTGTTTTGTTCCGTGGAAACAAAACTATAATGAAATCATTTATATGAATAATACATCAAACATATGGAATATATTACACGCACTTTAATTAGTTTCTTATGCGCTATAAATATCATTAAAATTTGTTAAATAAATATATTTTATTTATTCTATTGAACATCATGTTTAACAACAAATATCCCAAACCAAAGTTTTTTTTACAAGTTCACTGTAGCAAGAGATATTATGTAAACAATTAAATACAAAAGTTGAAATGTAAAAATCAGACAAATTAAAGAATATCAAATATTTACATTAATTTCCTCGTAATCATTATATTTTTACAATATTCGATATAATCAAAGCAATCTTTATAAATTATCAAATTTATTAGCAACAGTCAATAATACACGTTTATAACGGTTACAAAACAAAATTCAAAAAAATCATTAAAAAATTGTTTCAATATAATCAAAAACATTCATTAAAATATTGTTTCCATAAAATCTCATGTTAAAATGAACCACTTAGTTAAGTCCGATATTGTTTTTTACAATCAGACAAATAATTACATCTGAAAACTACAAACTTTTATTTGACGTACTTTGATTTTTATAATAAAGCATATAAAAAGTTTCAACAAATAAAAATATCGTAATTAGTCATAGTTTCAGAGTAAAATTTAACATATTTATATACATGTGAGCATATTTTTCGCTATATAATATGTAAAGCATTTTCAAAAGTGTATAGTAGTTATATAAAATATACGTGGCATATATACACACGAATCAAAACATATCAGTATGTAAATTTGTATGAAAATATATTTATATAACATCAACATACATACAGTTGACATTTGGTTATTGCAGTCAACATAGTTCACGTAATATTTTTATTCATATTATTATCATTAGAAAAATGTTTCCCAACGAAACAATGTTAACATATTCCGAGAATTATTTTTAAATGTTTCTTTTAATTATAATTATTTCTTTTCGCATGCACAATTATGAATAGAATTATTAAAAACTTATATCTAAAATGTACAACAAAATACATACACATTAAATACAATATCACAGATAAGTAAATATCACTGTTTCAATGCTTCGATAATTATCAAGTCAATATTTATGTCACTAAAATAATACAACTATGATTGTTTTTTGCGTTTAAAAAAAAACGGAATAACATATATCCAAGGTACCAGGGAAAACTCTATTTTTGGACAAAGTCCAGTGTTTCAGTAGACACGTGGATTTATATCAGGTACATAAATACACACAAGCTATATAAACATTCAAATAGATTTACGGAATTGGAAACGAATAGGTAAGGGAATATAATATATGCCAACTAGCCTATTCCGAAAAATCTTACGCAGTTCACATCATTCACATTCTGTGTATTTTACGCAACTTGATTGCTTGGTATGTGTCCACCTTTACTTTTTAAGAGGGGGAATGCGTTACGCATACCGGGTATGACTCCCTGCGACGGCATACCGACCTCCCAATCTTCTCGGGTGACGTAAACGAGTGGTTGCCGTTTTATACCGCTTTCAGAGATACAACAAACATGAATTGCGATGTGATGGAAAATGTATTCTAACGTGTTATTTGAGAAATGCGCACATTTATAGCGATCATACTTTTCATGGGCATTGTAACACTTCCATCATATTTGGCTTTTTGGGCCGGAGATACTCGTTATCCAATAGTAGCCGATCTTATGCCTCTGAAGCGTTATCAAGCAATACGGAGGGTACATTCATTTTGTTGACAATACAGGAACAGACACGGATCCATATTTCAAAATAAGACCATTGAAGCAACTGTTTGCATTGCATTGCATTGACCAAGAAACTGTTCCAGAAATAGACCTGGACCCCGAAATCCTTACCGCCTTGGGTGAAAAAATAGAAGAGACACCAAAGTTTGGGCCAAAAATTCATAATAAAGTGGCTCAGCTTTGGCAGCCAATTCTTAGAAAAGGCCTCTGTAAAGAAGCCAAGGATGAGCTCATGAAGTGCTATCTCATACCGGAGAATTGCTCTCTCCTACAAGCGCCAAAAATGAACCCAGAGATTTCGGCCGCCGTATCCGACGCCTCCCGAAGCGATAAGAAAATCAAGGCGGTCCAGCAGCAATTGGGTCTGGGTATATCGGCTCTTAATAAAGGCTTGGAATTGCTACTAGACGACGGGAATAATCTTACAGGTATAAGTTTTCTAAGCGACCGTTGTCGCATATTGTGCGATCTACACTACCGGGAGATAGAGGCTCGGAAGAAACTAGTTACTCCGGGACTAGACAAATCCTTTTCCAACATTACTCAAGACGTCGAATGAGATAAGATGATCTTCGGAACGAAACTTTCCGAGAAGATCAAAGCAACGAAAGTCATCGAAAGACATGGCTCTGTTATACCCGTAAACAGTATAAGGATATAATGACGCAAGTAGTAATCCCGCTGACCAAACACTGTAACCCTATCTCCTATTGACATCCGCTCAGAGACCTTGTTTCCCATGACTGGCGAGGAGTCAGTCTTGCACCAGCACTCACACGTCGCGGATCCATATAATTTCAAGTCCGGACACACGCCAAATCTTTAAGAACTTAAGTGTCAGTGTTAATTATAACTATATTTCTTTTAGCTAATAAAATATCTTTTTTTAAAAAGGGATTTTTAAATATCCGTAAAACAGTAGGTACGCTTTTGGAGAGGACTACTTTTAGTTTGGCGGTGAGCTTACGTCTAGGGGCCCGGACGAACGAACCCCATCGCTGTCGGTGTGGGGTAAACGTCGATCCTCTAGATCATCACGGTTTAGCATGTCGTCGCAGTGCACAGTCGCATTTCGGGTAAAGGACAATTTTTTTTATTATTTAGTTTTATTTTTAGTTTGTTTTAGGTTTAGTATTATACGTTGTTTATTTAATATAGTATTAATTAATTCATTTATTTTGTAGTGGTTAGTTATTTAGTAAGATTATATTTAAATTTATAATTAGGTTAATGATATTCTTGTTGGTTGAATAAAGAAATACCTTTTTTCTCAAGATGTTGTGATTTCATTTGTGTTAAATTAATAGTTTAAGTGGGGTAAATTGAATATCCCGGACATTAAGAAATAAGCATAAGATGTGCTTTATGAGTTGTGTAGCTTTTGAAATCGCAGATACTATCCATTGCTGTCTTAAACTTTGTCAAAAAGTGTGGTTTTGTTTAATTCACCGCACGCTTAAGGAATTGCGATGTGGTGGAAAAATGTTTCAAACAGGAAAATATTGGAAATTAATACAACAATTATAATTCACCGCACGCTTAAGGAATTGCGATGTGGTGGAAAAATGTTTCAAACAGGAAAATATTGGAAATTCAAGAAATTTCAGTGATGGAGTCTCCAGCATGAGAACATTTAGTAATTTCCTGTACTACATTTCATTATGTTCAAACTCAACATAAGTTTTATCAACTGAACAAAATAATAACGAGATAATTGTGATTTAAGAAGCAATTTAAAGAATCGTAGAAAGTGGAATTATTCAATTCCTTTTGAACCACTGGTGCAGTACCCACCACACACAAACCAAGATTTTGTTAATCTTAATTTAATTTCTTAACCATTCAAAAGTTTGTACTCGTTGAACGCTCGCTGAATACACACCTCCTTCCTCTCTCAGAAAAATCATTTAATTTCCGTAGTTTTCGAGCTAATAACTTTCACACATATGCTAAATGTAAAATAGGTAATTTCATAACTGAAATGGCAACACGTCACGTGAGTGCAGCGCTGCCTCTGAGGGAGTTCTTTCATGAAAAGGACTTTATTATTCTTATTTACTTCTTGTAAATTGAAACTGAAACTGATATATCTATATAATATATAAACATTATAAAAAAAATATTCTTCTTTGGTCTGCAACTGTAATGATCCCTAATTTTGTATTCACTTTAAATAAATCTTTATAATTTGTAAATGTGTTGTTGCACACATAACTAATAAATACTATATAGTGTATATATACAACAGATACAAGCAACACTATTGCATGTAGCTGTAAGACGGTCAGTGTTGCTGTAACACCGGACAAACTGACACGGGAACAACTTGTACTATTACCTTATATATAAAATAGTCGCGTCACAATTTACGTTTCCATACTCCTCGGAAACGTCTTCACCGATTCTCATGAAGCATGTGAACATATTGAGTAGCTCTGAGAATCAGACAACCCGCGCGGACGGAGTCGCGGGCGATATCTAGTTGTATTATAAAAGTATAATTATGGAAGCATGAAATCAGGTGATGAGTTGTGTCAGACCAGCATTACCTGGACGTGGTCTCCGGCGAGGGTCTTGAGGCGGGTGTCGGTGATGCCGTGCGGCAGGTTGTGCACGTGGGCGGTGCGTGCGGTGCGGGGGGTGCGGGTGGGGGGTGAGTGTGGGGGTGGCGCGCCCCCCGCCCCTCCCCCCGCGCTCTCGTCAGAGTCAGACGCGTACTCAACTTGTGGTTCATGATGAGGTGCATGTAGCGCGGTCCTCACTGCGCGTGTGAATATCCCCATAGATATTGTCTGGTCAGCTTTCCGCTGGAGAATAACTCGTCGGTTGCTGAACGGTTTGTTTGATTTCTCCTCATCTTTAGCTTTCTCCGTCTGGAAAGAAATAATTCTAGATAATTATGTATAAACAGTGCGAGGAATTAAAAGAGATCTTACTAATATTGCAAATGCTAATGTCTAGATGTATGGATGTTGGTTAAAAAGTATCTCCAAGACGATTGTATGAATATCTACGTAATTTATCATAGATGTAGAACATAGTTTAGAAGAACAGATAGGCTACTCATCAAGTTTTATTTTAATCCCGCGCGAACGACAGCTAGTCTAGTAATAAATCTAGTCTATATTACTCGGGGATAGTGTGGTTTCCCAACTGTGATTTTTTTTTAAATCAGTTCAGTAGTTTTTGAGTTTATTTGTTACAAACATACATAACAAATATTTTATCTTTATAATATTATTATAATGTATTTACCTCTTTCTTATTAAATATAATCCTTGTCCGAGATTTAGTTGTGACATCACTCTTTGTCTTCATCTGCAATTAAAATAATATTCATAAACTCATAAATTAAAAAAAATATTTTCATATAATATTGAAATTGATTATAAGAATTAAATTAATATAAACCTTATTAGTTTTCTTTTCCTGCAGTTCGTCAGCTTTAGTGGAGCTGGTCACAACAGTTCTGCGCACCGGAGACTTGTCTGCAAACAAATATATTAATATACTAGCTGTCACCCGCGACTTCGTCGTATGCTTGGAATTATACAAAATTTAATTAATAGCTTAAGTATTCTTCCAGATCTTAACATCTATTCTAAATTTCTAGATGTATGCAGGCGTTAAAAGATAACTTCTAACAAACATCCATCCATCCAAAAACATTCGCATTTATAATATTAGTAAGATTAAGGTAGGTAAATGACTGCTCATGCATATTAGAGTAGAGAACGGATAGAAAGGGGAAATATCTTTTTTCTGTGCAACTCCGTTTAAAGTTAGGCGACGCATCTGAAATTTCGTATATCTATGGATACCGGTTGCTTCGCTATTTTGGCGAATTCAGGTCCTTTACCACTATATCAGAACAAAATGATGATTAACCTTTCTTGTTGCGTTCCTCTTTATGTTCAAAGACAATCTTCTGTCTGGGCGGACGCTCCACAGGCTTTGACACCAGCTTGCTGCGCAGGTCTACCTGACTCTTCTGTGCTTTCGGCTGTTCCAACCTGCCAGTACATTCAATGTTATATTCATTGTCGCTAAGAGACACCTTCAATGTAAAAGACACAAAAACAATTGTAGTCGATATTTACAGTGAACTTTGTCATTTAAAAATCATTTATCATTTAAAATATCCGTTCAGCCATTTTGGAGAGAAGTAAAACAAACATCCATACATCTAGACATTCACATTTATAATATTAGTAAGAATGAAGATTTATCATGGGTTTCCGAGCCCAAAATCTCAATTTAAAACATATTGTTATCTCTGTTTCGTTAAGAATAATAAAAGACAGGGAAGAAGATATTTTTTATACAAAGGTTTAGGTCTGAGAAACCAACATTATTAAATGAAACATCATACTAACTGCACAGTCTCTTTGAAGCGTCCGGTGTCATCATCATCGGACAGGATGCCATCGATGTCATCTAGGATGAGGTCGAGCTCATCATCACTGCCTCCCCTCACCCCCGCAGCCAGGTCCGCGCCCCCCGCAGCCCCCGCAGCGGGCGGCAGGGGCGGGGTCAGCGCGCGCTCGGGGGATGGCACCTTCTCCTTCAGTGGCAACTCTTCTCTGGGAGGTGTCAGGTTCTCTGGAAATATCACAAACCAATACTTTAGTATATTATTATTAGCTGTATATATCAGCTGTAAATCGACTCAAAAGCTCAGATCACTTAGACATCCATTAGGCAGCTCAATTACCAAAATAACACAATTATATTCAATGTACTAGATAAAATTCCCATGTGAATAACGTTATACAACAAGCAAAAATTTAAAGGACATTTAAAAAACAAGATAATCAATCATAAATATGCATATGTACCACCGAGGCAAGTACAGTCAAATCCACAATCGTTCCATATAATATTTACATAACTTACCACAAGTAGAATTAACTTCAGGGTTCTCCTGCCTCACGGGGGAACGTTCCCTGATCTCCGGCTGCACCTTAACCTCCTTGTCTGGTGACCTGGTGGTGTCCGGCTGAGTGCTGCTCGGCTTGTCAACCGGTTCCACAGGTTTTGCTACTTCAGGTTTGACAATGTCTGCTTTTGGTACATCTTGTTTAGTTTCTACTTCAGCTGGTGTCTCGTCTTTTTCTGTTTTATCACGTTCCCTGTTAAAATAAAAAAAATTACGTTTATAAAAATACCACGGACTTGTATATTGTAGAAAAAGTTAATAAATTGTCTACGATTTATTTTTATTTAACGTAAAGCTTGCTGCAGACGAACAGTTAGACTGTTCAGTTAAAACTAAATGTCTGTAGCTTGCTTTAAACTTTTATAATGTTTCAAGAAATAATATTTGTTATAAATGTCAAATATTTTCAATATTCTAGAGGCTAAATGCTTTTACCAGCTTCTGTTTATAAAAAATGTGGTAGAAGTGAGGTACATACTTATCATCTACCTGCTTCTGCAAGGCGACTGCGTTCTTGCGCCTGCGCACTTCTTTAGCGCGCAGAACTCTCTCTCTCAGACTCTCCTGCTCTCTCAGACGACGTCTGTACTCACTCTCCTATAACATTAAAGATAATTCATTACTATATGTTATATAAGTTAAAGTATAGCTTTAAAAGAAACTCATGTATGAAAATTCCAATTTAGTTTTTTTTTTAATTATAAGGTGGTAAATGAGTGAGTGGTATTGCGTGTCATTGGTTGACAGAAGAGCTTCAGAGAGGATATTTCCCTTTCTATAGCCATCCTCAACCAAATTCACTTCAAAGAAAAGGGTGGGAAGGGAAACTGCTTTGAATGAGTCTCCGGCAACAGGTCAGACTCACTCTCAGACTGGAATGACTTTGCACTTTAGACATGTCTTCTGGTCGTGGTATTGCAGCGGTTCAAGCAATTAGTGCAACAGATGTTTTAGCTGACTATACCATGGTCGGAACATTGTTGGTGTGTGTGTGTGTGTGTGTACCTCGTCGTGTGCGTCAGTGCGGGGGCGGCGCGGCGGGGAGCGGCGCGGGGAGGGCGAGCGGCGGCCCGGGGGGCTGGGGGACCGCATCCTGCACACAACACGCATACAATCTTTATATATTCACATATTAATCATTTCATTGTGACACCAAAATACTTCATCAACATCAAAACTGGTAATAATATGTTTTAAACTGGGTTTTTGGTTTCAGAAACCTGAACATTTAAAATGTATTTGTCAATTATATATGCTATGATTCCACAAAGTTGTATATATGCTCACCGTCTGCGCAGACCAGCTCTATTAGCGTTGATGAACTCCTCCTGTCTCCGGAGCAGCTCCTCATCCTCACTGCGACGAGCCAACTCATTCTCTATCTCTATTGTTGTGTTCTCTATATACCTGAAATAATTAAATTAATATTATACATACATGAGTCTTGTAACTTGTACTAAAGAAAACTCATGATGCTTAAAAAACAATTCATCATTAGCTCACTATACGTCCCCACTGAGGAGCTTGGCGCCTACCCTAAGTAACGTTTTTTCTAATTTCGCGCAGACGTCGTCGCGGACAACAGCTAGTAAGTATATTTACCTCTGTGGTGATCTCCTCGGTAACTTCCTGCTGGCTGCACGAGCTAAAGCATTCCTTTGTTCCGCTATGAACCTCTCCGCAGCATCATCTATGTCTTTGATGGGACCTGACAAACATACATACATTTATACAATATAGTGTATATTATATGTTATATGATATATATGACGAACGAATATATGCAAGGAAGAAAGAGATAGAATTTATTGCACACAAAAACATAACTAACTAAAAACATTCAATCACAGATATGGTGTACGTGATTCTTACATTTTTTAATTAAATAGGCAATTTAACCATCATACTCAGAGTTAAATTTTAATGTTATTATGCAAGTAGATTAACTAATATTAATTATAACATAACTCTAAGTATGGCAGTTATTTAATAATTTTAATATATTCATGCGAGCACACATATAATAAAAAAAAAATAAACTAATAAAAATATATATTTGCATTCAATAGTAAAAACTTTGTGCACGAAAATTAAACACACAGAAAACCACATTATAAAGAAAAAACTTAAATATTGAAGTGTTGATTTCTATCACAGTGCTTGTAAATTACATCTCACAGTCAAGCATTAAGTGTAACATAGCAAATAAGTTTACTTAGATCTAACTTAAGATATAATTTACCGAATTTTTGCTCGAGTGTGGGGCTCAGCGGCGGACTCTTATGTATTCTTGTCGGTATGTACGTAGGGAGCCCTATGACATATAAATCTATATATTTACATCTTATATATCTTACATATCTATACGACGTCCTAAAGTTATTTACGAGAAGTTAACATTAAAATATTTGAGCTCCCAAAACAAAACACTTATTCATACATAGGAACCTTGTTTGCCTTTTTTTGTTTTAGTTTTGATGTCTACCTAGTTTCTTCAATGGCCCAAAATATCGTTGTCTATACAACTATGTTCATGTTGTTAAGTTTAATAACATATTCTCTTACTTTATCTTTTAATACAAGTTAAAATGTCACCGTAAAAATATAAACAACAATTTTTTACTACTATGATTAAAATCACCAATACCATTAAAACCTTTTAATACTTTATGTTGACCCAAACTATACATTTAAACTAAATTCAATGGATAAACAATGCAATATCTATACTAATATGAATAAGGCACAAAGATGTGTTTGTTTGCATTGAATATTCTCCGAAACTACCAATTTGAGACATTCTTTCACTGTTGGGAAGCAACACTATCCCTGGGAGACATAGCCTATATTTATTATTAGTTTTTTTTTATAAATTCCGCGCAAACAAAGTCGGAGTCACCTGCTAGTAGTTTTACAGTTATTATATGTTGTGGTTATAAGCGATTGTGATTGTATTTATAATTTTATGGTGACATATAAATAAACATCATTAACTCACCTTCAACTGGTGGCTGGAAGTTGCCTTTAAAGTGTGGATTGATCAACACTTTCTTGCCGGCAAGTCCTCCCGGAGGAATATTTGGTGGCAACTGCATCGGCAACATCCTGACTTCAGCTTCCCGTCCCATCTTTGGCATAGCTGGATGTTGGTGTATCGTCACTTGAGGAATATGGGATACACTGCTGGGAACTATCTCCCGGATTGGAGGGAACCTGGGGTAACTTGGTTGGTACTGGAAGGCAGGTCTCGGTTCAAAAGTCGGTCTAGCAACAAACTGTCTGGGATCATTCTGTCTAAATTGATTGAAACTGGGTGGGAAGCGGTTTTCGACCGGTCTCAATGGTTCTTGTGGTAACATTGGTCTTTCCGGAGACACCTCTGGTACGATCTTCGGTGGCGGTATATCAGAACGTATTTCTGGTATGTTCGGTCTGATTGTTTTCGGTTGATTTGCCCAAACTGTCACTTGCGGTGTAAAAGACGGTCGGGCTGCGTAATTGTTCTGAAATATGTATGAATTAGATGTGTGTAAATCGGAAGAATTCGCTGACAAAAGCTGGCATGTTGATAAAGGTTAGCCACTTACCCTGTGCATGTTGTTTCTGCGGTAAGGATGCGGGGTGCGGTAGTGCGGATTGCGCCAAGAGTTGCGCCCCCGCCCGGTAAAACCACCCCGGGGCACTACCACTTTGTCTATGAAAAAAAATTAACTTAGAGATGTATTAACTTATGGTTTTGTAATATCAGCTCAAATTTTTATATCCTAAAAAGACATTTAAAGCTAAAAGAGGCACTATAAATGTGCAACTTTTTTTACTTCTTTCATCAAAGACCATTACCTAAGCTGTCAGGTATATCTCTGACTTGCGGTGTCCTCTGGGATCCTGGTGGTCGCTCCGATGTGAACCGTTCTCGGGCACCAAGGTCATCTAAAAGAACAAATTATATTAAAAACACATTTTAGCATATAATTAAGAATTTCTTGCTCATTTTCCCTGTGGAAATTATCAATTTATAATCACATCATAAAAGTTTTATGTGATATTGAACTTATGAATTTCCTCAGTGGAGCTTAAGGAAGTAAAGGAGTGAATATTCCATTGTCAAGTCAACCACATTGGGCTAGCAATGACTCTACATTTATATTAAAATTTTCACCGTAAAATATCAGGTAAATAAATAATTGGGGTATTACTTACCAACATTTGATATTGGTACTTCAGAAGGCACAATCTGTGGAGATTCGACCGGAGCAGCTGGCTGTAACAAATTTAATAAATATTTTATTTGGATTTATAGTTGTTATTGAAATATATTGAATATTGAACAGAGATAATCAAGCAAAATAACATATTCGCTTCAGTTTTTTGATACTACGCAAGTATAGTCACAGGAAATAGATAAAGCATTATCTATGATAGACTAGTCTGTACAACTTTTGTACATTTGTTTCTACATATTCCTTAAAGTATGCTAAGCCTTAAGTAGTAAATATTTATCTTTTTGTTATAGTATACTTACAATAGGTGGAGGTACAGCATGTTCTAAGTCATATCCACGTGATTCAGGATAAGGGGCATATGTGGAATGTTCCGGTAGTCTTGTGTCTGGTACTTCTGTTGTTATGTTAGGTACCACACATTCACTTTCACCCATTACTGGATATGAGGCAGGCTGTTGGATAAAACTTTTGTAACATAGTAATTTTCATAGTATTTATGAAATAGTTTCCTACATAAATAGTAAATATTGTGCTAATGTCTATAGAAAATAGTATTAAAAGTAAAAGATTGGCAGTAAGTAATACTACAAATATTAAACAATTTGGTAGTTATTTTAAGGTAGGCTTTTTATTTTTGGATCTAAAAGTAATGCTTAATTTAATTTGTATATATTAACAAAACAAGTTACCTCTGAATATTCTATACTATGATTTGAAGCATAAGCTGGTTGACTAATATCAACTCTTTCTACATACGCCGTGGCGTCCGATGTAGGCACATTCTGTGACGTACTATTGTCGTAATCATCGGCCAAAAGCTCTTCTTCCTCTTCATTACCTAAGTTGTAGTCTGTAAGACTGTGATCACCAAGATCATCACCTAATAAATCTTCACTGAAAATACAAACGAACATCTATGAAACACATGGAAGACAAAGTAACGCGATTGTGACATCATAGTCTGCGCCTTTGGTATCCATTGTAAATTTTTATATTTAGAATAACTACTATTAAAAGTAGCAAGAATGGTCGATTAAACCATTTTAATTTGCTATTTATGAAGATTTTAATAAAATTTAACAAAACACTAACTTATCCGACATGTTGATAAAAATTTTATGAAGCGTTCAAAGAGTATGTTCCTAGTTCATGGGAATTGCATCATTTTTTTTTCCAATTTGTCATAGAGCACTCAGAAAAAGTATGGACATGTCATTGGTTTTACGTGGTGCAAGCGAGATAAACTTATAGCGTGTATCATGCGAGAAAGTGAGTCCGCATTTAAATTGTCATTGTCGCAATTAATTGTGGTTGTAAGAAAGATAAAAGATAAATATCTGAATCAGTTTGCGAAACAATTAAAGTTGTTATGAAAAAATTAAATTTTATGAAAAATAAAATAAAATATGAAAATGCAAATAAAATTAAACACTCTGCTGTGTCTATGAAATATTGGAATCAATAGTCAAATGAACGCCTTTTTTAAAGTTGACATTGTCATCAAGATAAACAGAAAATAACCTAAAAGGCAAAAATACATTTGCCTTTAATTACCGAAAAGTAAAGTTATACAAGCGACTTATTCCCTGCAGAGATGGCCGAAGATGACGGTGAAATCGAATTTCTAGATGAGGATGCGGATATTGTTCAACAATGTGTTCATACCGATGAAGACCCGCCGCCTCTAGAAGCTCCTATCCCATTTCTTGTTGAACGAAGTCCCGTTGAAAAGCCAAGAAAAAAGCGAAAAACTGAAGAAGATTCTGATTACGAACCTTCAAAGGATGCATCATCGAAACCTAAGAAACGTAAAACTCCTAAAATACCTCGATCATCAATTAAATCTCAAAAGTACGAATATTTCGCTCAATCTGCACCAATTAAATATAAAGTCAAGGAATATGGACCTAAAAAAATGAAAAAATTACAAATGAAGAGAGAAAATATACCTAGAACACAATTAGATATTCGTATTCCTGATTATGATGATCCTTTATGTATGCCAGTACGTGCAGTAAAGAAGGATGGAAGTGACACAACAAAGTTGAAGATTTGGAACAATTTGTGCTTGGAACATTTTAAGAAAAGCGATACAGTGCTACGACCTGATAGTGGTGAGACGGTGTCATCTAAAAGAACTGTGCTACTCAAAAATGTGTTCAATAAGTTTACAGGTGGGCTATTACAGTGTTAACTTTTCTTTGAACTCACACAAGAATGTCTCTAATACTATTTCAAAATATTTGTCAAACATCTAATCTTTAAAGTCTTTTTTTTTTTAGCCCGCTATGCATTTTTAAGGCATTTAGCAGTATATTTGAAGTACTATTCTCGGTCTTCTGACTAGACAGAGTTTATTTAAAATGAATCCTTTAACTTGCACAAAGGTTTTTTATTTATGTTTATAAGATTTTTGATGTTTTCATAGTCCAAATGCCAGTTTCAGTGAAAATAAATTACATTGTTGAAATATGTTTGGTAATTGATTTATCTTTCAGGTAGACAAGAAACAAGCATGTGGACAAAGACAATGGCCACGAACACTAATGGAGTCAGTAAGTCTGATGTAGTTCAATCGGTGTTACCGAAGTTCAGAGAGAAGAAAGTATTGAACTATAAACTTATTGATACAAAGAGACGGAAGTCTTACCGTCATGTGGACGAAGTTATTATAACTAAAGAAGTTCAGAAAGATGGAGAGCAGTTGATTGTTTATAAACCAAGAGAAACTATCTCTTTGGTTTATAAAATGTTTGAAAAGACGTAAGTTAATGAATACACCTTAAAATATATAAAAAAATATATTTTGTACATTGTTTAAGTATTAAAAAACTAAATTTTATGTTATACTTTGGTTAGGTATATTATTTGGTTAATCTTACTATTATTGTAAATGCGAATGTTTGGATGGACGGATGGATGTTTGTTAGAAGGTACATATCTCTAGAACAGTTGCATGGATTTCAATGAAATTTGGCATAGATGTAAAACATAACCTGGAATAACACATAGGCTACTAATTAAGTTTTTTTTTTAATGCAGCGCGGACAGTCGCAGGCCACAACTACTGTTAGTATAAATTAAGTTAATGAAGTAAGTTTCTAGTCTTGTAAACACTTTGGTTCACAAAACATATACAGTGTCTTTTCCCCTACCAGTGAGAATTCTGAGGGTGGCAAGGAAGAAGACGAGGAGCAGAAGAAATACATGAAGGAAGTGGCAAGCTGCAGGGTGTGCGCTCCTTGCTTCCAGTTGTCCTGGCGAGGCTCCCGGAAGGAGGATAAAAGTATGTTCATATGTCATAATTTTTTGATCATTATTAGTGAAAAAACGTTGAAATAGGTTAATAATGCTGAAATACGTGTTACAGTGTTTATTTGAAAAACCTAATTTGGTAAAGAAATGTAATTATTATTTTTTAAGAAATGTTATATAGCGACATCTATAGATTTAAAAAAAAAATTATTCAGACTTTAGTTGTATGATAATTGATGATAGATGGCGCTGGCAGTAAGATACAATATAATTTTAACATTTGTTGCAGAGATAAGATGTGAGATCTGCTCTACGGTGTGTGCCAACGTGCAGCGTCTGCTGGCACACCTCAAGTCTCACTCCGCACACGACGTCAACAAGTACAAGAGGCTTGTCTCCAGAGCTCTGGCCAAGGTTAGAATTGGTGCACACTATGTATGTCAGTTTACAATCTGACTAATAATATTATCAACTGATGAAATGAAAATGATTTACAGATTGTCGTTATTAAGAGTTTAATCACTATTTTATAAGACTTTATTAATTATTCAACGATATTTACAGACTCATCAGAACTAATATGTTCTCAAAGACATTGTAAGCGATGATAAAATATAGTTAGTACAGTAGAGTTCTGTTGTAAAACGTTTTTTTGTGAGTGTGAACTCATTTTGGACATGTTGTGCAGGTGGTGGGGTACCAGTACACCTGCCGCATCTGCCAGCACCAGTTCCCCGCCATCACCGAGCTGCGCAGACATCTGCTCAAACATACAGGTCCCATTTCATTTCTAAATGCTTACAGACAAATAAATATATTCACTACCCACTTATCGAATGTCCTATGTTACTACAATAGCTATTTATCAAGTTCTAAGTTTTAAAGTTTGACTCGGTGGATAAATCAAACTAAATTATGATAACAAACTAACGCTGAGGGCATTTTCTAATTCAAATAAAAAAAAACGCTGTAGATGTCAGTTTCATGTTTTTTTTAATTTAATTTTCTACGGTTACAGTTTTACATATTTTGTGAGAAATTTAACCGAGATAGCAGCCTCTTCCACTGGGTCAGATATATTTCTTGGATTATATATTGCTCCTCAACAATTTCCACATAGTTGTATTGTGAACGTGAATTGTTTCACAGTAATGGGTAGGAATTTAAAGTCCTTGTGCTTTTGCACAATAAGTTAATTACATATTGAATTAGCAATTATTGACACTCTATGTTCTATTTTTAGTATTTAATGTTTTTGTCTCTATTTTCAGGTACGGAGACATTTATCTGTGAAGTTGGCGGACATCTTGCTACATAATTATTACATATATAATAAATATATTTTAACTCTCACTTCATTATTTCATTTATGTCCATAAATTGTTTGTTTGCTTTCACTTTGTTAAAGGTTCATTAAAATTTGTTTAGTAACTCATGAAATGTAAAAAAAGATTCTTAGAATATAAAAAATCCGACCAACAGATGGCGCTGTTTTGTATTACAAACCAAATTTCGTGTTCATATCAGACAGATTTTTTCAAAATCAAGAGTCATTAAAAGGATAATCCATTTCCTATTTCCCTTCCCTGGCATATCTATCCTCCCTATCCCATCATTTCCGAAAAAGATTTTGACAATAAAACATAACTTCTAAATAAAAAGAAAAAGCTTTACTTAAGTCGTTCCTTTCGCGAACTTTCGAGTTTTTAGGGGAATGAAGGAGGTGAGACGCATAAGCGACCGGCCCAAGATAATTTTATCCAAACATGATTCCGTTCGACCAGATTCTAGTTAAATTGAAGTTACACATATGACTAAGTAAATCTTTTTAGATGTCCTGTTCTACGCTTTCTAGTAAGCGCATTTACAACCGCGACTTAAAAAGAGAAATAAGGCAATATAGCTTTAGTACTTGATTGTATGGTATCGATTGACTCCCGAGAGAGTCGGCGCTTCGCAAAACATTCTGATTATGTGTTCACATCAACATGTTTCATGTCTATCTAATCTGTACCCACTGACTAAACACCTTTACAAAAACAATTTTCCATCTCTGTGTTTTGCAAGAGTATGACAAGGATAACAATATAATTTTGTATATGCTTTTTGTCAGAGGAAATCCATATTGAAAACGTCCGTAACATTGACTTTATTAGGGTTGGCAATATTTTAGATTTTAATACAATATTTATTTAGATATAACTTTTCTTCGATAAAACAGTACAAGTTCAGGCTACACAAAGAATCGTTTTTACCATGTAAATTATTACAAGGTTTTATAGACAAGTTTTATAGTAGCTTAAAAACTTTGAAATATACCAAAAAGATTCTAGTTTTTAGATACTTAAAGAAAAGTACGGTCATGGATAATTCCTTATTGTATATTGGAAAAAGCATTTCACAATGGTAAATTATAAAAGCGGAGAGGTTATGTTTTAAAATTTACAAAACTCCATATTTGCCAACCCTAGCAGCCAATCGTTGTGTTCCGTGTCATGGGTGGTAGATGGTGGGGTGTGGAGGGGTGAGTTCCGTCTGCGAATGTCCCCTGTTGTCTATTTAATATCATTGGATACGAGAGACAAGATATTGATATCAAGTTGTGATGAACTTTTTTCTATTGTTATTTCTTCAATTATTACATCTTTCATATATTAATTTAATCCTAATTTAGTCCTCTTTCCCTTCCCACCCTTTTTCTTATAAGGAAAGGATGGGAAGTGGAAGTGGACTTTTCGGATGAGAGGATGCATGGGAAGGGAAAATATTTTCCTTCTTTGCATCCCCTCCTCCATCGAGTAAAGATAGACAACGCATATGGCATTGAATATGTCTATGGGCAACGGTCACTTCGCTATATATATATATATATTACTGTGGAGTTTCGCTGTTGATACATTCGTTTAGTATATAAAACATAGATTTTATAAGACCATTTGCGCTTGTGTTATTTCACAGTTAGGTGTTAAGTCTTAAAAACTATGTTTTTTGAATTTTTTGATGTTTTAATCATACTAATATAAATGTGAAAGTTTGCACTAATGGATGAATGTTTGTTACTATGTATATCCGAAACTGTTGCACGGATATTAATTAAATTTGGCACAGATGTAGAACATAATCTGGAAGAACAAATAGGCTATTTACTAAGTTCTTTTTTAATTGCGTGCAGACGAAATAGCGGGCATAAGTTAGTTTGAGATAAGTTTATGGAGCAATCATTTTACCTAATGATAGGAAAGAAAACACGTTTGAAGAATAGCTTACGAATAATAGTTAAAAACTTAATATTAATTATTTTGTTAGATTTTTTAACATCAATATTGAATTTGTTTTTTATAGTGGAAAGAAGAAAAATTTAACTTTCTTTCTCAGAATGATCATGTGTTTATGTATCGTATGTTTTGTTATATTTTTCATTCCTACTTCATTACGTTCAATGAGTTTCATCCCCAAACAAACATTGATATCATTTTTGATTTGTTTCCCCCATTCGTCAATACGCTACCCTAATATCGCAGAAATTGGATTTTCTCTCTGACAAAAGGGGGCTATATTAAAAAAAATCACCCCCGAAATGGTCGTTGACCCCGGCACGAGGCGCGGTCGTTGACCCTTGCTTACGTCATCTTATCACCCCACTTGCATCCTTGAGTGCATCCGTCTTAAGCTGGCAAAGGTAGAAATTAATCTTTTGTTCACATAAATATTTTTTAAATCTTACTATTATTATAAATGCGAATGTTAACATGGATGAATCGCGCTGAAATTTGGCATAAATGTGGAACATTTGAAGAACACATAGGCTACTTATAAAGTGTTTTTTTTAATTCCGCGCGCACGTAGTCGCGGGCGACAGCTGTCTATTGCATAACCATTTTTAAAACATTCCTACTACGTTGTTACAAATTAAGTTCTATTTTTTAAACATAAAACTAACTTTGTTTATCATTTAAATATTACGCAATCATTGTACTTATTATGATAAAGAACAGTAGTGTTCTTAGGAATTTTGTTAACCTAAAAATGGATAAATAAATGCTTATTGCATTGTTGTGTTTTTTTTAACATGACAATGTTGGTAACGTTTGACGAGTAAAGTTAATAATAAAATACTTAAATTATGTTTCACGTAGGGTGTGTAGTTTTGTGGATAAATAATTAAATCGTAAAACAGTAGAGTTGTCACGCGCCGCTAACTAGGGAGCAACCGCGAACCGCTCATTTAGCGCCCATTTCCACAGCCGCTGCCGCTAAGTTTAAGTAGTGTTTTATAAAAGGTTAAACACGTAATATATCTTACTGTTTATAATATGCGATGAATTAAGATAAAAAAATCCAGCACACCAGGTCATCTCTTGTGTTTATTTGTCGATCATTCGACATTTAAAAAAAAGTACAAAACACAAAGTGTAATTTTACTTTGTACTAATATTATAAATACGAATGTTTGTATGGATGGATGGATGTTAGAAGGTATCTCCAGAACGGCTGCATGGACCTCAATGAAATTCGGCACAGGTGTAGAACACAGGCTATCTGGAAGAACACATAGGCTACTTATTTTTTTCTTAATTCTGGTTATTATATTATTAAATCTAAATCCAGTAAAATAGAAACATAAATAAATGCATAAAAACACAATTGTATAGAGGAGTTTCTCGCTTATGAAGGTCATCCTTTGGGTCCGAACAATTCTCTCTTATACAGGTTTATTTCTTATCCAGGCTCGAATTAAGTTATTATTAGTACTAATATTTTAACTAAAACTAACTATAGTTAAAACACTGAAGGTTCTTGTAGCAACCCTAACGTGATCGCGGGGTTTGCACCCCTATTATACCCTCATGGCGCCCCTCGCAATTTATTATTGACGAATTTATGCGTATCACATTAACGCAATAACTATCTGTCCGTATGTCTGTTCACATGTAAGTTTTTGTTGAAAAAGCAACTGGTATTTTAAAGTAAAGTCAATCGCTACATCAAATGAACTGCAAACGCTTTGTCAAGAGATTTTCTCTTGAATCATATCATTAGGGTTCCATACCTCGAAAGGAAAAAACGGAACCTTTATACGATCAGTTTTTTGTCCGTCTTTTAAGATACTTTTTTGAATTAAAATCCATCTCTTTTTAATCGATATGAATGGCCTAACTCTAAACTTACTGTGTATATAAGAAGCTTTCTTGGCAGCTATCAAGGAGGATCTTGGTATCTTGGATCAAGGAGTGTCTTCAGCATGTGTTGAAACACTGATTCTTAGCACATATAAAGTTAACATAAGGGTGTGTGGGTTGGAGAGAAATAAAACATAATGAATGTCGGGTTTTTTTTATATATTTAGAACAAGAAATGTATAGGTACAACCATTGAGGATATTAAATATCATATTGTAAAAACTATTGTATAAAGTGAAGAAAATGTGACAATTTTTCATATTTTTTTTTTCAATTATTTCAATTATAATTAATTCCAATAAATTAATAATTATAGACACATAAATTACGTGAAAATATTAATGAATAAATTACTTAAAACAGCCAAGTAACCACTACTCATTTAATAATTGGTTAATAATGCTTAATTTTAGGTAATGAGTATTTTTTTTTCGTAAAACTTCTATCCCGCTCGCCAGGGGGCGCGCGGTGGCTTTCCAACGCGAGCGACGCCTGGGGGCGGGGCGGGTTTGGAAAACCACTTACTTATAAATTATTGGAAACAACATTTATTTAAGGCGATACCAAAACTGAAGGCAGCATACATCGCGGCGTAAGTTCAGCTTTGGTGTCGACTTTCTCCACTACTATTTTCTTGTGCAAATCAAATATTCTCCACAAAAGCTATAATGAAATAGAGGTAATGGTTTAAATAGACGATAAGTATATAGAAATATCTAATTATGAGTGCCGGTGAAGCAGCGCGCGGCGCTAGTGTGCCCTTCGGCCGGCACACTAGCTCCGCGCCGCGCGCTGCCTCGCCCGCATTACAATATCAACTAAATCTGTTAAATACGATCAACACAGACATCTATATCTTAAATTTAATTAACCGTAAAAGACAAAAAGAAATCTCAACACTTCATTTGACTTTCAGGAAGATCTCGAGTATTATTTTATTATTTTAAATTGCAAAAAGTATCCCGCTCTACAAAATACGCTTTGTATCAAAGTCTTGCCAGCTTCGAACGAGAAAATGGCCGACAGATAATTTTAATTATTTTTTATTCATTATAAATAATGATTGCTTTCGTTTACTAATACATATTAAAGTTGGAGTTGTTAAAATACTTACATACATTACATTTATATTTGAGATTCTTATTTATCTTACGATGCATTTTTTCTAATTATTTCCTAGTAATGATTTTAGTCTGTCGGAAGTTTGAATGAGAAATGCGCTTTCATCTGATAAGTTATAGGAATTCTCTTTGTCTAGACTATTATCATGGGAATATGGAACTGGATTTACTACGGTAACGCACTAAGTGTATCACATTCTACTCTGCGTGCGTTTTCTCTGCTCCCATTCGAACTTATCGATAAATCGTTGTCTAGCGAAGTCACATCACTACGAGTAGTGTTGGACAGATGTGCTATGTTATCGATAACTTGTACACAATTGAAATAATAAAAATATACAAACATTTACTATTTTAATTCATATTACTTACTATCGGTTTGCTAGAGTTTTATGCTTGGATAGGTGACAGTGCAAAGTTCTATAAGATGACTAGTTTAGAAGAGGAAAGAGAAAACGAGAGAAGAGAGAAGAGAAAGTAAGAAAGAGATTAACACTGCACCTACTGTAAGCTATAAAAACTCCAAGTCTGATAGATATTATACATATAGGTTTGTTCTTTTGTTTTTTGCAATATATAATTTGCGCGATGACAGCTGAAGTATCGACAACATGGCACATCACTACGCAATGGGAACAAACTTGTGCAACGCAGTTCGATAGAGGAATCAACACCGAAAACGATATCCTAATAAATAGACAGTGAAATTGATATTATGATGTTTTATTTTCAATTAATAATCAATTCATCTAATCGTTTTTAATATTCGTAAACTATTCGTTTATAATTCGCTTACTCGAAGCCGGTCCGATGCCAATATCGTTTCTATTTACATATTTATTGCATTCTGCAGTTTACCCGACTTTGTCGTAAGCTAAATACTGTTTGTTACTACAGTTTTTTTTTATATTGGATATGGTTAGAGTGGTTATTTGGATTTAATTTTAGGTTCCGTTCTTTTGTCGCTATTATTCACTGTCTATAATAAAGTGGTGCGGATAAATCGGCATTAGAAACTTATAAATACTTAACTTAAGTACAATGCGGACAAATTTATTATAAATAAATTACTTAAACTAAACGAGTACACAAAACAAAGCAGATATCGCAATAAATACTTGTTAAATATTACATCTAATTACATTGCCGACTTAGTTGTGACTAGTACAGATTAAATTAATAATAAAATTAAATAAATGCAGTTAATAAAATTAGTTGGCGCCATTTATTATCCGCCGAATGTGACGATGAGTATGGGCTAAGGATAAAGAATTGCCGCGATTGGCTATAACATTATAAAACTATTAGGAGTAAAGTCTAAAAGCTACCTACTAGAGAAACAGATCCAAAAGACGAGGAAGTACCCGATGAGCAAACATAGTTTTTATATTATTAAATATTTATTTTTAATAATTTTACAACAATATAGCCGCGCAGCGCTGAAATAGGAGGTTCTTATGCCTTGCATATTGCATTTACATCAAACTCACGAGCGTATTCACGTATGAAGTAACATTTAGTCGATGTCTCGAGTCGCCGGCGCGTGAAAGATATTCCAAACGTGACTCGTTATCGATAGGTGCTCTGGTATCGATACGCCGCGCGTTGTGTCGCAGCACTAGCGCGGCTATTGAGCATAGACTAGCGCCGGCCAGAGGCGACACAACATTTCGGACGATCCTCACGCGAGGCGCGTAGTGTAACTTACATATTTATTTCCTATGGAAGATTTCTTTTCATTCATTTGTGACTTAACTATGAGAATCGGATCGGTCCCGGCCGCTCTTAACTTTGTGCACGCGGACGGGCCCGGGCGGTTCCCCTCACACACTGACAAGCTGCACCCTACACATGCATAGAGAACGCTAGCGCATCGACCGACGTCGTTCTATCACTTCATCTCATCACCTGGACATGTACAGTCGTACGCTCGCGTCATTTCGTCGGAACTATCGATTGATTTACTTATTATATGGGCCATTAACCATTTAATACGCGTGATAGCATGATACATACGCCGAACGAAGCGCAGTAATGTACCGGAATGAATAATGTTTGTGCCTCGTCTGACAGAATCCGCGAGCCAGTCTTCCTAGCAGCAGCCGAGCACCGCTAGGGATGTGCCCGCGCAGTGCTCGGTTGTCTACATTTCCCTCGAATTCCCACTAACATCTGTTTGATACGTGAATGCATTGAACTCGTGTGATTTAAAAATTCATCCAAAAGTGAGGTGTTCCTGAGACGTAACAAAAGGTCGCCTCAGTGGGACATTCGCACGCGACATATCTCTTAAACATTAGTAACGTCGCATCCCCCCTTCGTCCCGCGAACCCGCTTAACCATTAATTTAATTAATTAAGGTCATTCGTCACGTGTATTTATTTTTATTTTTGCTAATTTTCACAGCCTCAATGTCAATTAGCCTATGCGTATTTAGAGTATTGTTTCTGTGTTGCCAATTCTTTACCATTATTTTTTATAATATCATTATTTTTTTTTTATAATTTCTTAAAAAATGCTTCAAAACACCGTTCAAAAAGTAGCCGTTATGCTATTGATGATAGGTCTGATTATCCCTTGTCACCTACAGGAGTCGGCCGCGGGGCCCTGTGTCCACGTCGCCTCGTACAATGGCGCTGCGGAGGGCACGCGCGGAGGCCTTGACCGCCGTCTACCGCTGGCCAATATTGCTTATCCATCGCCCGATCTCCTCCAGCCGATCCTAACCTAAACTTTCCTACATATCTGCGGCAAAACTGCCCCCCGCCGCCATTTTGTGTCGGCGGTCATCAAGGCCTCCTCATAAATATCATTAGTAGAAGGTTTTGCTAGTCGACCGCTTACAACTATGAAGATATGATAGTATATTTTTAAAATACATATAAAAATATTAGGTTAATAATATTGTAGCATACCTAATCGTGTGTAATGGCTTAAAATTCACAAGTTTAATTTATTGCTTTTCCAGTTATTTTACGCCACTATCAGGCTCATCGTTATCTAAGCTATTTATTGAGCACTATCATTTAATTATTATAATTTGATCGACGTTCGTAACCGCACGGAGACCGCGCGGCGTACCGCACAGCAACCGCAAGGAAACGCACAAAACATTCTACTAAGTAACTCCCGCAATGTAACTGTTGACCATATCCTAACCGTTTAGTACATCTAACCATAACCAACCAACAGTTCGCTCCAAAATATGTTGCAATTTCATAATTATCAATATTTATTATCTAAAAAGTCGATGAGTTAAAATTTGGTGTTTTCTGTTTCCTTTTATAATATTTTACGTCATCCCAAAAAACTGAAACCAAGGAAAAATTGGAACGGACGTACGCTCTCTCTTACCACATAGTATGTATGCATAAATATCAAACAACCGCAGCTCTCGACTCACTCACAACTATCCATCAATCGCCCGATATATTTCTCTAATAAATAAATCAATTTAGGTCACCTCACCGATTTCATAATATCAAAATTTCATTAAAAATTTTCAAACGCCTAATTTTCAAAAGCGAAATACAAGTTATACGAACTAAACTAAATAATTACATTTCATGAAACTACAAACAGAGAAACACGACAAATAATTTATACCAACATCGAGTATTATTTAAATTATTATACCGCCCGAGTTAACGGAGCTGACTAGAGATAAGTAGATCCATTAAAACACAAAATACAACAATTATTATAAACCTAAGACTTCGCTATCGAAGCATATAATATGCATAATTGTGCATAACACTGCCGTCCAAATGAACCGACATCGCTATCCGTTAGTTTCAAATCAAACATTCATATTTGACAAGTTTCCGAACGTCGAATTGGCGGCAAATGTGACGTAATGTCAAACTGACGTTCGCGAACCTTCTGGTAACTTACAATTCGACTAAATTAATTTAGTGTACCTAATAATAAAACGCATTAATACTAAATTGGAATGTAAAGCAGCCGGAAAATAAAGCCGGAAAGCTTTTTTTTTGTTTTTTTTTAAATGTTAAATAAAATGTTATAGCAATTGCTGGCTCCACGGGCGGGAGGGCGAGTGGGCCGGGTGTCCGGGACAAACCAATAGAGTACAATAAATAGTAACGCGGCAATCTCGCAACCACACTGACATTACGATTAACGTCTCTTCGAGTTAATTTGTTTAATATATTTTCATTAAATTATCGACTATCAGTTATTGCACGATTTACATTTATAATAAATATATAAATACTTGTAAATTTTATCTCATTTGGTATGTAATGCGTACCTATTAGTAATATTTGAAATGTTACAAAACTGTTTTTACATATATTTAAGTATATATTTTTTTACAAAAGTCGTAGGGTCGTTAGGACGGCACGATATTTAATCTATTCAAGTTCGATGTTTGTTCAATAGGTCTTCGGATGCGCCCGCGCCGCGCCGGCGCCGGGCGGGGTGCGCGGCGGGGTGCGCGGCGCGGCGGGGCTGCGATGTGGTGGCTGCTGCCTTACGGACGCGGCGAGATTATTTCTATTATATTTAACTTTTTTTTAAACAAATTTCCTATTTACAAATTTCCATTTAAACTAGACGATTAAAGCCTACTTCGAATAGACGCAGGGCCGCATCCATACATTTATATTATTTAGCAGGTACCGAGCATATGTTTAGACATTCATTTCAATTTTATGAAATTGTTAGACTAATACGCACCATAGTTCCGCTAAAGGAGCCCTCCCCCCCCCGGGTGTCCCGGGCTGGGGCGGGAGGGGCCGGGCGCCCCCACCTACCCCCTCCCGGGTGCCCGGAACAGCTGAATCGATTTTCCCCATCTCCCTCCGCTTTGTGTGCTGAATCCCTAGATCGTAATCCGTCCCTCGTGCTAGCTCGCTTTAAAACGTATCTCAAAACCTAACCTAGCCCCGTGGCCGTGGCCGTGGCTGCGTAGCCGCCGTGGCCGTCGTAGCCTACGTAGACGAGACGTAGAAGGCCTGCGCTACGACTCACGTCGCACCTCGTTTCGTTCGTTTTTATTTTAAAATTTTATCAAAACCTATCACAGTTTTTGATTAGTTTTCATCCTTAATTAGTTAATATATGATTAAAATATACGTATAGATAATATATATTCTTCGAATCTTTAACAATATAACAGTATTTTAGTTCGGCGGAGTGCTTTCGGCGGAGTGCGGTCGGCGGCGCCGGTCGCGGCCGACATTGCGATATGAACGTCTAAATGGATAGCTTTACGGCTATTATTGCTAATTATTATTTCTTAATATCCAAAAACCTATTTTCTCGTTAACCACAACCTTTCATAAGCGAAGTCGATTGTCATGTATTGACGACGTATGCCGAGCTGACGAGTTGCCGAGCGTGTCGGGCGCCGTGGTCCCGGCGAGCGGCGCGGCGCCCTCCGATGCCTCGCATCTGGTACCTGCGCACGTCCACATCGGCCACATCGCAGGCCGCGGCCCTTCATTCAACGTCCGCCATGTTGCCGGATGCGCGCGGCGCCGCTCCATTCCGCCATTTTGATTTCCTGAAACACTTAACCCAATTCGCGCGCGCGGCGGCGGGGCGGAGGGGCAGCGGGGCGGTGGCGCTGGACAAAGGGCCTGTTACATCTACTCGATACATTATCTACTCAATACTTATGTTAACGGGGTCCCGGGCGTCGTCCGGGGCAGGGGGTCCCGGCGGGTGATGCGGGTGTATGGGTGCGCGCCTGCCGTGCCGTCCTAGCGCCCGGCTAGGCCGAGAGCGGACGACCGCTTAGATCGTCTTTATCTTGTTGGTCTTGAAGCTGACCTGCAGCACTCTGTTGCCGAGCGTGTACCCGTTGAGCGACTGTATCGCGACGACCGCCTCGTCGTAGTTGGTCATGGTGATGAAGCCGTAGCCCTTGCACTTGTTGGTCTGCAAGTCGCGAATAACCTTCACGCTCTGCACGGCGCCGAACGGGCCAAACAGCTGCCAGAGCACGTTCTCCTCGGTCTCGGGTGCCAGGTTGTAGACAAAGATGCACCACTCGGAGCCGACGGCGCCGGGCAACACTCCGCCCAACAGCTCGCCGGCCAGCGGACTGTAGCGCTGGAGGCCCTTGTTGATGGCAAGCAGGGACTTGCCCGAGCTGAAGCGACCGAGTGGCGCAGGGAAGCGCAGGGCGGCCGGCAGGTACGCGGCTAATGGCGCCAATGCCTTACCGTTATTACTGGGGTTGTTGGCGAACTTGACGGTAATCGGCTCCGAAGCGCCCTTCGGCACCGTCCCGTTTAGCTCCTGGATGGCGCGCTCTGCCTCTACACGCTGGTCGAAGCGGATGAAGCCAACGCCTTTGGAGAGGCCTTGCTCGCCACCGGTGAAGGGCCGCCCGCCGGAGTTTTCGCACAGGATCCTCGACGTGATGATGCGTCCGTAAGGGCTGAACAGCCGCTCCAGCTCCGACTGCGTCATCGTCTTGGGCAGGCCGGACACGTACAGGTTGGCGCCCTTGATGGCCTCGCTGCTCGGGCGGGCGTAGGACACCTTTATGGTTTTGTTCTGCAGCCGCAGCCCATTCAGCGTGTTGATAGCCTTCTCAGCATCCTCGGGCCGGTGGTAGTTAACGAAGGCGTAGCCGAGGCTTTGTCCGCCGCCGTGCAACGCGTGGTTGAGCGCATCGGGGAAGGCGGCGCCCTTATTGCGTATCAGTTTGCAGGACTCCACCTCGCCGATGCTCGAGAACAGGCTGCGGATCTCCTCCTGTGTCATGCTCTGCGGCAGGTAGTTGATGATCAGGTTGGTCTTGGACTCCTCGCCCGACCCGTTCTGCTGTTCACTATCGCCCTTCGACATTTTGGCTCAAATCATAAACGGAAAGAACGAAAGGGAAACGAAAAACGCGGTAAAAAGAAAACGGGGCACGTCCGTCGCGGAGGCGCGCGCGAGCCGTAGTGCCGGCGGGGACGAGCGCCGCGCGCATGACCGTCGCCCCCCGCCCGTGCCCTGCGCACCCCCCGCCGCCCTCGCTATCGACCCGCGCCTTACATAACGCCGTTCGTTCACCCCTCCCAGTTAGTATAGTGTCCGAAAAAACCAGATACGAGCCAACATCGATCCCGGTCCCGGAGTCCCCGGGAATCGAGCTCGCGTAACTGGGTTCCGCCTCCACCCCCGGCCGCGCGCCCCGCGCAGCCACCGCGCGCCACCGCTCGCCCCCAGCGCCGGGCCGCGACGTTTCCGTCCCTGTCGAGGAGCTAGATTCCTTTGTTCCCGCTCCTTGTGACCCCAAATTGTAAGATGGTTCGCGTAGAGATCCAAGCTGTATTTATTACCGACTAATGGAATTGCAATGTGTCTCGTAGAATGAGGCGTCTTCAGCGATGTGTGCCAAAAACTTGCGCCGCTGTCGGCAGTCGATAGAGCGGGAGATAGTAAACACACGATTTACAAATCATCATTAAGTAATCTAAGTTGTAAGCTCACAAACAAAACTCTACTAAGTGAAACTAACAGATCTCTACAAAACCATACCTATCTTATTATATTATCTGATAAATTATTCAAACTTAACTATTTTTTTACATTACTTATTTATTTATTTCTTAAGATTATTATTTCTTCCACCTGACATGACTTACTTAAGTCAGAAACTTTAAATTTAATTCTCTAAGTAAAATAAATTTAAAAAATACTTAAGTATAAAAATACTAGCAAAAAAATTAAAGTATTGTTACAAAAAACGTAACGATAATAAAGGATGTAACTTAAGTTATGCATAAAAGGAGGGTGGCACAGGGTTGGCATTCACCCCCAGTATACACTTTGTAGGTCATAGGGGTGCCACAAACCTGGTCAAATACACGACTTTACTATTACTTACGAGATTCGGAATTATTACTACGATATACAAACATGTAACTGACATTAATTTTAAACTTTAAATTTTACTAATATTATTAATTCGAATGTTTGTATGGATGGATGTTTATTACAAGATATCTCCAGAACCGCTGCATGGATCTCGAAGAAATTTGACATAGATGTCGAAGATAGATGTATCCTAGAAGAACACATTGGGTACTAATTAAGTTTCTTTTATTCTTCATGGACGGAGTCGAGGGCGACAGGTAGAATTTGAATAAAATATGAGATGATGACATTGTACTATATTTTAATTAATTTATTAATAATTTTAATAAGCAAACAACATCAATGTATGCGAAAATCCTTTGTTTAATTCTATGTCACGGGAACAAAGGCGTGTCATAGATATTTCCTAGCGGTTAAGACATGAGACAAAGGTTTTTAAGATAAGTTTCTGTACTCAAAACAAGTAACATGTTTATAAAAATAACGCACAAGTATATCTTAATCTTAATTGTTTTATTTTTGTAATAAAGATACTTTAATTGTTGTAATCATAAAAACATTTATATACGTATTTATTCGATGTGAACGTTATTTTTATATCTCGTATTTTTAAGTAGTAAAAATCGACGGACCACGAAGGCCATGCCAAATATACCGATTGCCAAAAGGTATTGTTTTACACAACGATATATGAATAACGATTATGTTGACAAATGTTCTATCATTTGTACGACTTTTACAATATAAACTGTTGATTTTTAAAAGGTTTTATTTTATGTGTAACAGATAAATAAGTTTAAAACGAAATAAAAACGTTTTCGTTTGAATAGAAACGCTCGTTTATAAAGCAATGATAGCTTATATAATTTGAACATAGTAATCAACATAGTAAATTAATAAATATAGTGAAAAATACATAAATTATTATCAAATATACACGACGATGTAACGCTTGCGTAGACTATATAATCAGCTACGTTTAGAGCTACGCCGCACGCTACAACGGCGCTACGCCGTCTAAGCAAAGTTTTTAGCGCAAATAAGCAAACAAAAAACAAATATTTCACGTATTATATTATATTAGAGGTTATTATTACCATTATTTTAAATCGTAAAACTGTATTGAAATAAAAAGTAAAACACATATTAGGAATGTTTGAAAACGTTCCTAACTACAAATAGGATTTATTTAGGATTATCCTAAAAATGTTGCTGCTATAAGCCAAAAAAATAACCAAAACAATTGTTTATTTGTGGAATAAAAAATAATAATAAAAATTTAATCTAAAAACGTTCTGAAATTGAAATTCTTTTCCAATTTCAGTGTTATTTTTCTCGTAGTACCAGTATCCGAGGCTAAAGGAAAAATAATTTAGTGCTCAAATATCAGATGTAGGTACAAAAGGCTCTCCGGTGCGCCGGTGTGGAGGTGGCAGCGTTTTGCAAGTTAAATTCCTAGCCAAGTTTTACCTGCTACGAATAGGGTTGACACAACAGTGCTTTGCATTTCATCTCTCTCTCTCTCTCTATATATATATATATATAGTATTTAAACTTAAGAACGGCTTTACCGATATGCCTGAAAATTGGTGAGGAGGTAGCTTAAAGCCAGGAGACGGACATATAACAATAATATGCGGGAACAAAAACGTAACAGCATTAAGGATTCTTACAACGCCATCTAGTTACAAAGTTAAACAACGAAAATATCTATTGAAGCAACGCGAACTGCTAAAAATATTGGTCTCAGAAACTGACGATTAGTCATATTTTTAGTTTACCACATTAGTAACATTACAAATGTGATTAAGTAATAACTTAAACGTGTTTTCTATTTGGTAAGCACAGCTGTTGCCAGTTCAAGGTACATACCGCCCTAACTTTGATATGTTTTAGTCACGCGACAAATTTATTTGAACTTTTTAACAAAAATTACAAAGCTAGTAATTATAGTATTAAATATTTTAGATTGCTTAAATATTTCATTAATGAGTTAAGTTTAATGTTTTCGCATTACAGGAGGAAATAGTGGGCACGTAATTACTTTTTAGAAAAAAATCCGATGATCCATTATGGAGTTATCTTACTTCTTACTAATATTATAAATACAAATGATTGGATGGATGGATGTTTGTTTGTTTGATCTTCAGAACGACTTAACTGATCTCTCTGTAATTTGGTATAGATGTAGAACACAGTTTGGAGGAACGAGTAGGCAAGTAAATTGAGTTTTTTAATACCATGCAGAAGGAGTCGCGGGCTACACATAGTGTGGTAATAAATATTAGTGGAAAATATTCGCGTATATAATACTAGTTATTAAGTTTTTGGCAGCCCTAGGTGAGGTACGGACAGAACAATTTAAATGGTAATTCTAGCGGACGAGCGTCGCTGAAGCCTTCCACAAAGCTTTCTGATAACCGCTCTCATAGACCTCTGTGTTGTGATAGATATTTACCTTTTGTGTTATTAAGGAACGTCAAAGTTTTTTTTAATGTAAACTTCACAAATTTAAAACATCAACATATCAACGAAATGTTTCTACTATCGTAACAATTTCAAAACTATAATATTTCTATCCCTCTCATTCGCCTTCAAATGAAAGAGATAAAATATCGAATCCGATCTGTAACAAAGGCGTAAAAACGCCTATGATTTGTCTTATGTATACTACGAATCCTAACTTAGTCGTCTTTCATTTCTGTTTCTAATCTTTTTCGGACTTGACTTACTGGACTTAAAGTCCTGTGTCCCCGTAGAGGGGCAGAGGGCGTCCACAATACGCCGCAGGTACAATCTTTTTCTGGATTAAAAAACAGTGTTTCAAAGTAACGTGTCTGCTATTTTTACTTCTTACTAATATTACAAATGCGAATGTTTAGATGTCGCATATCAAAATGTATGTACATACTAGCTGTCGCCCGCAACTCCGTCCGCGCGGATTTAAGAAACATAATAAGTAGCCTATGTGTTCTTCCAGACTATGATCTACATGTATGCCAAATTTCATCAAGATCCATACAGCCGTTCTGGAGATACCTTCTAACAAACATCCGTCCATTTAAACATTCGCATTTATAATATTAGTAAGATAAGATTTCGATGTTGTTATTTAGCATTCTTTTATTCAGTCACGAGGTCATCACCTTTTATAAATTCTTTTCAGCGAACGATGTTTTAAAATGTATGTACAACTCATTTTCCTTGCAGATCACGAAAACGGTGATCAAGGAAGAAATATTGAGTTTTGCGCGACCCGAGGTAACATTGCCTTGCGTACAACTCGCAAATATAACAACAAAAGAAATTCAAACTTAACTTCATCTGATAGAGTTTATTTTCGTATAGCAAAATGTTTGTATTGAAAAACAAAAAATACATATTCTATGCAATCTAAAATAAGCTCTATAGATAATTGGAAAGAGCTTATTTTCGCATGTTTGCATTTGTAAAATTGATCAAATTCAAAGTTGTTTTATACAAATTGGAACTCTGTTGTTGTAAGGTGTTAAGGTCGAAATTGGCTTGTTTATGTCTTTATTAGGGTAGCTAACGCCATTTTCAGCCGTGTCGAGGGTGGTGGTGCGTTTCCATTGTTGGAATTTATAAATGGCATAAATACATTTGTTACGGATTTTTAAAATAAAATATAGAGCTTTAGAAATTAACTTGCCTCAATTTTAATAAAGAAGGAAATTCTCTATACTGGAATATGTAATTTTTTTATATCATAAGGTGGCAAACGAGCGAGCGGTCACCTGAAATCACTGAAATAGCGAAGTGACCGTTGCCCATAGACATACGCAATTGCATATGCGTTGCCTACCTTTAATCAACGGAGGAGAGGATGTACAGAAAGAAAATATTTTCCCTTCCCATGCATACTCTCACCCGGAAAGTCCACTTCCACTTCCCATCCATAAGGAAAAGGGTAGGAAGGGAAAGAGGACTAAATGTAATAATATTATAATACTCCGAAGATTAAACAACTATGTTTTTTATAGACTATTTTTCTTATTCTTTCTCTGATACATCGTAATTCAAAAACGTTGCGTAATCATTTTT